GGCATGTCACCTGGCTCATCGAAGTGTCTCGGGAGGTCACGTGGGTTCTGCTTACTTTACACTTTTTCCCCACCATAGTGGTCGCTTTTTACTTTCTGCCACACACGTCCTTCTCCTTCATTATCGCTGCCAGAAGCTGCGTGCCAGCAACCCCACGCGCGAGCTACACACAGCCAGGCTTTGCTCCTTTCTCACCCCAAAGCCTTCGGGCATCAGTGACTGGGAAACCCACTCTACCACTTTTGGTCCCTGTGGAGGATTGAACTCCGGATAACCGACAAGCAGCATTCGACGGGGAGGGCTAAAGGAGTCGCCGGTGGTTTCACTTCGGCGCTCTAAATGAAAGTTGCTTTGAAAGCCTTTAGTCCAGTCTTGCGTTAGGACAAAATTTTCAAACACGGAAGGCTGTCACAAGAAGACGACGAGATAGGCACCTCGAGAAAACAGCGAAGACGGTGGCTCACTCGCTAACAGAGGCGGCTCGCTTTGACCGACTTATATGACATTGTGGTGACGGCGCCTCGTAGAAGAAGGGTGGGGGAAAAAACCTTGTTGTTTTGAGTGTGCAAACATAGTGAACGTTGGAGACAGTTGTCTGGCGAGTAGTCAACATGACAGCTTTAATTTATGTAACGCTGCCCAGCCTGGTGTACCCCTGCAAGAAACAGCTAGAGCGCATAATTTCTTATTGACTTGTGTCATAATTGACGTTTGTAGGATACTTTAATACTTTCATTCAGCAGTCCAGGCTAGTATGCAATTTATGTAGACTCAAACAGTAAATGTTTGCAATTCTTTTCACATTGTGGGGGTAGTTTTTTGTAGTAATTATTTGAAATACAAAAATAAGATTGCGTTGTTAGCACTGCGTACGTCAGACAGCCAGCAATAGCTCCAGTTATAGCTGATATTATTTTGCAGAAGTATTACGAGTGTAATTAACTGCAAGTATACAGAGCACCAGTGGAAGTTATGACACTGAAACAACTTCCCAACACACTCACTAGAAATTATCGTGTGGGTGGTAGGTATCTTCACAATAACGCCAAATTGAAGAGTGCCTCATTTATGCTGAACGCATAACTGGCTCTAAGGGACCGGGCCGGGCCTGGCCCAAAACTTTCGAGCCTCAGCTGGGTTTGGGTCATATTTAAAAACGCCGGGCCGGGCCGGGCTGGGTCTGGCCGGAGCATAGTGTTTTCGGGCCAGGCCTGGCCTGGGCTGGAAATATCCGCCCGTGCATTGCTGTACCTTCCGCCTGCATCAATATGCAATTGCACAAGTCAAGGCACCTTTAAATATATGAGCCTTCCAACTGCTGATGCAGGTGGACATGATAAGTGTGAAGTCCTCCGCTCTTGAGTATATACGCCAAACACTACTTTCGAAAATGGCGATCTCATAACTGGCGTCACGCACGCTTGCGTGGCGAATAACTGCCATGAAAGCAAGAATGTCTGTTCTATGCAACTCATTGACACCTTTTCAGGGCTGACGCGGCTTTCTGAACATGCCCATCTCGTTTAGAGTTTCGTGATTTGTCACCAATGTTAAACTATTTTCCCGCATTGAGGGTGCCAGCTAGGAAAAAAAAACCTTGCAACTTCTCTCTTTTTTCCGCTCGGCCAAGATCGACAGTCATATTCACATGTTTTTTATTCGCATATCATATTCGCACGTTCTTTCCTAAAACTAACTGCGCAGCGCATATTGCCGGTGTTCTTTTCATATCATCCCTACATCAGAATGTCACTTTCTTGTCCCCCTCCGTCAAGTTTATAGCTAGCCCGTAAAGAAAGAGGAAAAAAATCGGCAGATCCCACGTACCGTGGTAATAGAAACATGAATTTTCGCTACACCAGAAGCGGTAAGCTGATAGTAGCCCTGGAGAAATGTACATAAACTAATTTCAGCGCATGACGCCTAAGTACAATTGCCGTTAACCAAACGTGATGGCGAGAACCTATATAATGTTTATAATGTTCGATAACCAGCACTGTATTAAAAATGTATGTTATAAGAAACATTAGGGTCTATTTGAAAATTAGTTCCGAAACCTAGTGTGACTATGAGGTAGAATACTTGATCTTCATGCAGAATGCTGGGGTTCAATTCATGCTGGAACGCTGACATTCATTCCTTCTTTTTGTCGGGTCAACGTTGCCGATTTCAGCGTTTTAGCACTCACGTGTTAAAATTACCCGTATGTGTTCTCGCCGTTCCTGGATAGATTTACACTCTCGATCATGTGGCACACACCCCCATACCTGTGGCACATACCTGCTGCTGGAGGAAAAGGTTTGACGATGTACGCGATGGAATTGGACATTATTCATTTCATGAACAGTCGTATTCGTCAAGCCATCTTACCCTTCCATGCGAATTTGGGGTTACTCCAAGTTGAACTGGTTATCATGAGAGCAGCCAGAGGTAGGCAGCTAAATAGATAGGTAGATAGATACTAGGCGCTCAAAGCGCCTGCAGTTCGCAAAAGATGTTTCGCATTTTAAAAATGCTGGCGCTGTGCCAACTGCTGCCTTTGAGGGCACTGAAAACACCACTCATGAGGCAGTAATCACGCGGTATATTAAAAAAATAGAGCACTTTGAATAAAGTCTAAAAGTAAAAAGCGCAGTTATCTTGCCGCCAAAAAAAGTTTATTTCTGGATAACCGCTAGAAGTTTTGTGTTTAAAACCATTCGCAAGAGTCACTATTTAAAACGTTCATTAAGCTAACTTTGTTAATTCCCGAGCTTGGCGGATCAAAACAAATATTTCAAATTGCTATATACGGCTCAGAACAATATTGCGCTGATTGGAGACACGGAGTGCTGTTGTTTAATTTCTTATTATCTGGTGCTTTCTAGGTGAAACATCCTGTATAGAAAAAAGAGTTATGAAATGTACATGAGAAACAAGGATATGTTGTGGAAAATCAATCTATTAAGGAGATTTATGTTCATATTGTAACAATGATGTGACGTTGTCGAAGGAAGCAGACTGTACGTCGAATATGAAACTGTTTTTTGGGCCAAACTTGTGGCCGGTACGAAAACTCAAATTACAGCAATACACTGGCAACGGTGAACAGAGCATCGGCCGTCGATTAACTGACAAGCGATGAAGCGTGTCCACATTAGTACATGTACCATCAAATATTTCATTGTTATCGCCAGCACACACATAACTTTCTTAAGAAACTGTAATATTAGCGTTAGGCGCGTTACCGCATTGGAAGCTTTTACGAGTATATAGATTGTTATTGATCAATGACGTGGTTTGTGCATAGCAGAATTTACAGTCTAACAGGGTGTTAACAAAATTCGAGAAATGAATGTAGCAATATATTCACCCCACAGAACACGTTGAAACTGCTACCAAACAGTAAAGCAACCCATCACTGTAGAGGAACGCTTGAAATTCAAATATAGCACTGATACTACTGTCGAGATATACGCTCGTAAAGTAAGCTGCCAAAATACGCTGGCTCATTAGTTTGTTTTTACGAAATCTGGTCAAACAGTTCGGGTCAACATCAATGCAACACCAGTGCGATTTTTACCAAATCTGTGGTGAATCAAGCCAGTCGTTATATTTTGGTTAAAAAATGCTTCACTAAATTGTGCCACCGAATACGCATTTGAAATTAGTGCAGTACAGTCGACTATTTTTAAATTTTAGGTACTAGATCTTGAGTTACACAACCCAAGCATTGTAGTTATTCGCAACAAATGGAGAGCAACGAACTTGCTTTCTGCTAAGCTCGATAACTTACCGGCGGACCAATACACACAATGGAGCAACATACTGCTTCTAAGTATGGCTGACAGAAGGGACAAGGTGAAGCATCCTAAAGAAAAATGGTTGGGACCGCAATAGTGCAACACCACCTCACAAGAAACTCAATAAGCAAGAAGCATGGGACTGCCATCGTTAGCGTCTTTTACAGACTAGCATATATCTTCATTTCCACCAACTGCATATAATATATCCATAGATATATGTGCCTGGGCACAACCCAACACAACCCCACATAACATACACGTGCTGGGAGACACCAGTCGTTGTGTATACACTTGGCACGCACAATCTATGTATACGTGCTCATCGTATAGGTGCGTCTTCCCGATCTCGCCCTGGAAAGCCATCTGGTGTCCCTCAGTGAGGTCCGGAAAGACGATGTGGCAAGCGGGGCCATCGAAGAGGAGGTGCCACTGCCGTAATCTATGTACTGTTTTCGTTCATTGGAGTCTATTTTCTCGAACAAGTATACAGGCAGACAAGCTATTTCAAATCTTTCTTGATGGTCTTAATTGTGAGATCAGTCTATTGCGACATGTTCTATTTTTACTTTTTGAAATGACACTGACTCATGCTTGTACGTGCACTTCGTATACTACAAATCAGCACCTTCGTTTCATATGATCCTGCAGCATCTAGGTTCACAAACGAATGACTATGTTGCATAAACAATAGCCAAGATTACTTGACCGTAGTTATAATGCATATAAATACGAACTGTTAAACACAGCCGTTCCTCTCTTTTCTTACATTGTGAAGTCTTGTCATATCGTGTCCCAAAAAGCTGCCAAGATCCCCTTAATCGTCATTTACGTTTCTTATGTATGCAGCTTGTTGTATTTGTTAGGAGCCAAAATTTTATATGAATCAAATCGAGATCAGCTGTCAAGTCGAAATAATAGATAACTTCACGAAAAACCATGGCGTTAGGCATGTATTTTGATACCCAGCTCATAATTGCCTTGCACATAAGGGGGAGGGAGAAGTGTGAAAGAAACATGATATGCAAAGCATTCGCAAGAGATTGCAAGTATCGGCCCCTTAACGAAAAGCAAGCCTGCGACAATACTCCTATTACTTGTTCGGTCGTTGTTACCTACTTCTTCTTAATCTGAATGCTTACGTAACCTTGATGTGCTGCTGCAGTTGTCTGTCACTGCGTAATTCAATCAGCTTTGTAAGTGGCGGGATCATTGCAGTGTTCGATGCATCAGGCAAGTACCCTACGGGAGCTCTTCAGGCAACGCGGGCGGATTTCGGAGCGTTCGACGAGTGTCTCGAGACTGTGCTGCTGGATCGCGACGGGGACGTAGAAGCCCGCGGCCAGTACTGCAGCCTGCTCGTCTACGCTCGGAACAACAGTGACGCGGAGAATTACATCCTGCCGGCCATCGAGCTGGCCCATCCGAAAGTAAGTCATGCCAGACCAGGAAACACTTGTGATATTTTTCTTTTTTGCGGAAGCTTCAAACGCTGCATCAAACGTGAACATGGTCCTTTTTCGGGTCCGAACAGCATCTCTAGTTCAAAGCGTGAAATCGAAACTGGTGTCTCTTGGCCTCCGAAATAGTGCGATAGACCATCTCGGAGGCCTTCACTGACGGCTTTCGTTAAGGGAAATTTTCGCAATTTTGTGACACGAGATGTCACTTGTTCCGCACTTGTCATCGTGCTTCGGGCACAAAAAATATTGGCACATGCCTCGTCGGTGCCAGCGCGCCTATGTAGACTCATCATCATCATCAGTAGCAGCAGCGACAGCCTGACTACGCCCCCGCCGGGCAAAGGCCCTCCTATGTTCCAACAATCTACCCGGTGTGGTGCTATCTGCTGCCACGTTATACCTGCATATTTGGAAATCTCATCGGCCTACCCAGGATTGACAGATCTGGCTACTTTGCGCGAGATTGGGTACTTTTAAAAGGCCGCGGTGACAAAAAAAAAACATACTTTGGCTACTTGTATACATCATGGCTATTGTTCTGACTCTAGCATCAACAGGTAATAAACGTTAAAACCACGAGCAACTATAGAAAAAAAGCTCATTCACAGTGCCGGCTATGGTTCCACCGGCGTAACTGCATATCTAAAGACGATAGTCTTTCTTGGAGACCTTCAAAGCAAAAAGTTTGGTCTGTCTGTCTTTCTGTATATCTCTCTGTTTGTTGGCCCTTAACGGTACTTTAAACGGCACCAAAGTGCCCAAATGATACTCCAAACAGCGAACCCCATCCGCAGCGCCCAGCAAAAATAATCAAGACTTAGCGTTCATACTTGTGCGATTGTCAATAAAAAGCAATAAGTGCGCATATCTGAGGCACCATAACAACACGTCAATATTCTGTATGTGTGTATTTTACTAGAAAAGGCGTACATAAGTAATTCTAAGGCCCGTATTCACAAACGCTCCTTCACTAAAGTGCTAACCCTCGACTTGACGAAGTCAAGGCGGAGCGTGCTCCTCCACTCAAGGAGCCGGTGCATTTCATGAACGCTCCTCCACACTTCCTTCGCCAAGAGAGGCCTTGGGAATGCTCCCTCCACTTGAGTGAACTGCATGGGCCGAGAAAAGCGCCTGATAACGAGAATATTCGCAATTGTTGTTAAGAAATGCCTATCTCTGTGTAATAAATAAACTCTTTTCTTACTGATGCTTTTTAATAAATTGACATTACATCAAAATACATGTATTTAGAGTGGTAGCATGGTTTCCCTAAGCCTTGAGCCGGTAGAGGTAGTGAAACCCCCGCTTAAAGTCTGGCAACAGTTGCGCCCAGGCTGCTGAATGAACAGCTGATGGCGTTTCGTCTGCTGCTGAACGTTTCTACGTGCTTAGTTTATTTCGTCTCGGGTGCGTCTATTAATTATAGTTTTTATTTACGGTAGTGTCTGAGTGGGTATTTGAGACCCTGCTTTCGCCGGGGTGACTAACGAACTACGTGAGTGATGGCAGGAATCAGAACATATGGTTTGTTGCTTTGTTTACTTTCGCTTTGCTGAGAGCCTTCTGATCACTAGTGTAGCCACCGAACGTGTAACGCGGTGGGGTGAGTAATTTCTACTTTATATCATGTTACATTGGTGTGCTTTTAGAATGCACCTCCGACAAAATTACTTGTACGTGAATTCGTTTTCGCTGCGGGAGTACGTGAACCGTTCCTGATTTCAGGGGATCGTGCTATGTTCATTTTTCTCAATTACTGCGAATTTCAACGTGGCACTTTCGTAGTTGTTCCTCTGCATGTAATAGAAATTTCAGAAGACAATGCTCACAACTTCCATTCAAGGTTATACCCGGTAGCGTTCATTTGATTGAAATGTGGGATTTAACGTCCCATAACTACCATTTGATTATGAGAGACGCAGGGTAGCGTTAAAAAGTAGGCATGGTACACTCGTGGCTGAGCGTTTGAATTAGACTGCTATGCAAATTAACAAAAGCCATCGTGTGCCTTTCTTCAACTAATAGCGAAAACATCATATTAAAGTTGTTTTGTTAATTAGCAGCATATATAGACGGTTAACAATGCGTGTTTGTGTTTTTGTGTTTCAATTTTAAAATTTCAATCTCCCAAAGATGCCTGAGTAAGCAGTTATTTTTTCCATCTTCATTTTGCCCTGCATTTGTGGACGCTCTAATATGACAGATTAGAATAGACGTAACCTTTAAATCTCTGTAGCTTCCGTCTCCAAGTTCACACAGCGGCCCCATCTTAAAATATTTGTCCTGTCTTCTTTACCTGCAAGCTAAGAAGCACATTCGTTAATGCAGGAATGACCTTTGCACTTATGTTTTGGCTTTTATTTGTAGAATATTATTGCCGGGAATACCTCTTGAAAATGATCGTGTTTTCTGTGCTTCATTCTAAAGCCTCGGCAGTACATAATTTATAGAAGGTGGTTTATTCTATTGGAGATGATAAAATTGAAGACGCTTCTGACTTTTGGCACTGTTTTGTCTTAAAAACGGCAGTGCTGGTTCACTGAACCTTGGAGAAAGTGTCGTCAAGAAGCAGAGTTACTCTGCTGATTTAACGAAGACCGGTGCAACAAAGTGGTAAAAAAATGCTCGAGAGTATTGGAGACATCACGGATATATCTGGTCGAACCCCTGTAAATGAAATATCCGCTATTGTTGCAACATTAGCATGTCTACACGCTGGAACCACGCCATCTCAGTTTGATTGATTGATTTGCGGGGTTTAACGTCCCAAAACCACCATATGATTAGGAGAGACGCCGTAGTGGAGGGCTCCGGAAATTTTGACCACCTGGGGTTCTTTAACGTGCACCCAAATCTGAGTACACGGGCCTACAACATTTCCGCCTCCATCGGAAATGCAGCCGCCACGGCCGGAATTTGATCCCGCGACCTGCGGGTCAGCAGCTGAGTACCTTAGCCACTAGACCACCGTGGCGGAGCGCCATCTCAGTTTCATGGAAAAGGAGTGGTGCTGATGTATATAAAACAAGCTTGATTTTGTAGAGCTGCTCTCCTGTAGAATCAGAGAAGAGGTTTTTCTGATTCTGTCTTATTCTTAAAAGGAAAAAATGACGATAAATATGTATTGAAAAATAAACAAAGTAGAAATTTCGAATGGCAAAATAAACCTTTATTACATTTGGCTGATGAAGAGCCATGTGGCAAACGCCAGTGTGCAGCTGCAAAGTGTGCATTAATCAAGCATATGCAGCTGAAACACTGTCGAAATAAATTTCGAGATTGCAAGACATCATAAATAAGACAGAGGTAGTAGACACCATAGCGTGCCTTATGCAGTGCAGCTGCACGCATTCACTGCAGATTTCGTCCTTTTGTTTACAGTCGTGCAAACTCTGCAATGCATTGCGAATACGGCACGTTTTAGGAAACCTTTCCTTTGTGTTCTTCCGTCGGCAGCCTGGCCCCTGCACAAAAGAGGCAAGACATAATATTATAAAAACCTAATAGCTAGAACACCAAAGCCACATTTTTTATTTCTCCGGATGCACTCATACAATATATTTCTTGAGGTAAAGAACCGACATGGTTGAGTTATTGAGCTTTGTCTATTTTGACACATGTTTGGCTCAGGCACTTGGGCAGCTCACCAGGCATATGATTATGTAATTCCATAACCTAATTGCACAAATCAATGGCGTAGCTAGCAATATCTCTCTGGGGGGTGGGAGGTTCACCCATAAAAAAAATCTTATAATGTATCTGCTGTATTTCTATTTCGTATGTTTGCGTCTTTATACGACACTCCATGCATTCTTGCATGCGTGTGCTTGTTTCACCGAGTGCGAGCCTCTACTTGATTCACTAAAGCTGTGTGTGGTTGTTCATTGGTATTGTGACCTGCATTGTATATTGAAGCTATGTTTCACGCATAGTAGCAACAACAGCACACTCAATGGGCCCAATTGCATTGTGTTTTGTTCTTCCTGAACTGTCTAATAGTGATCGGACCTGAGCAGGGGGAAATGAACAAAAGAAAGAAAAAGGAGAACTTACCTTCTCGTAGATACCGACGATCATCTAACGAAAGCGTGCTTCGCCGTATATTTCGGCTAGGGTAGCAAAGATTCACCGGAGAAGAAGCCGCTCAGGAGTATCGTGAATGCAGTGCATCGACAGTTTGCTATTACGTTTCCTCTCAGCTTGTTTGTCAAGCTTTCGCGCGACGCTTGAAATGGTGTGGTGTGCAAGCTTCATCGAAACACTTGAAAGCACTGGCATTCGCAGTAAGCCTTGGAGCACTCGCACGACGAGTATACGCACGGCCGAAGGCAGGGAATCCACTGGCTCATGCACGAAACACAACACATCATGGCACTGATGAGCGCTCCGCTTGACACCACGCCCGCCTGTCCCGGCGCCACAGTAGCCGTTGTCCAACCGTTACAAGACTGCTCCGTAGTGAACGTGCTCCGTCACTGTTGAAAGAACGCTGCGGTGGCAGCCAAATTGATCGATAAACGCTGTCAAAGCGAGACGGGCTCCGCCATGGACGTGATGTTGGCACAGAAACTTCACTCGAGGGACGATTCAAGGTAGCTCGATCGCTTCCTTGACAATCTCGAGGAAACGCTCGAGATTTTCTCAAGTGAAGGAAGCGTTTTAAGTGAAGGGCGGTTTGTGAAAGGAAAAACGCCACTCAAGGAGCGTTTCGAGTGAAGGGTCGAGTGGAGGAGCGTTTGTGAATACGGGGGCAAGAATCATAGCGTTTATCACGTTGCGCTGACCATGCAACGCTTGCACAAAAAGGCAAGTGTTTCTAAGGCCCGTATTCACAAACGCTCCTTCACTCAAGGGCTCCCCTCGACTTGACGAAGTCAAGGCGGAGCGTGCTCCTCCACTCAAGGAGCCGCTGCATTTCATGAACGCTCCTCCACACTTCCTTCGCCAAGGGAGGCCTTGGAAATGCT